GGGTGGCGGGAGGAAGTGCCAGAGACACGAAGTAGATGCCAGAGTAATCTGGGGCATGCCAAACAAAAGCTTTGGTTATTTCACTATTTTCCCCAGAGATAACCCTAAATCAGTCCCAAGATCAATGACTGATCAAAGATAAGAATTCGAGGGCTGGCCAAAACCAAAAGAAAGGCTCTTATGGGAACACCTACCAATCGAATGAGCCACTTTACTGGAGGTCTAAACCTCTTTTTTTTTCCTTAGCCCATTTTAGAGAAGAAAAATAGGAAAGTTTGGAGCGACCTGTATTTTGTATATTACTGCATTTCACATATAGATATTTTCTATGGTTGTCAAAAGCTAGTGAGAATTTTATAAGGAACTTTAGTTGTAATCATAAAATACACTGACTACCTAACAAGGCATATAAAGCATGACAACTCAACTTCATTATAGTCATATGATGTATTTTTTTAATTGTCAAGAAGACTTCTTTATCAAAACTATTCACTATTATAGATCTATTTCATGATCCAGGAATCTCAGTTTAGAAACTATAATTCGAGGGGGGATATAGCGAGCAAGATGGAGTCCCTCAAGTCAAGCAGTGACATAAGCACCCAAGGATGTTGCAGCTGAGACCAGATATCACCAAAACCAGCACAGACTGACAGTACTAAGAACTGATAATCAGTAAGGCTGGAGAACCTGGAAGAACCAAGAGATGATAATCACTAGAACCAGGAGAGTCTTGCAAAGGCCCCAGACTGATTAAACTCCTTTATTTATTTATTTATTTTATTACACTCCTTTAAACAAAGGATATCTGCAGCAAACTGTCAGACTCTGCAGACACTGAGCCTTCCACTTCTGACCGTACTGACCAAAGGCCTTGCCTGATTGATCTTAAACATCACAGAGATTCTCCACTGCTTGAACATAATAAGCAGTATGAGCTGAGAGCTGACCTAGACTGGACCGAGGCCTTACCTCAATTGTGCATTCAGGGACTGACCTTGCATTTGGTTCATTAACTTCTTGCCCCTTGTTATAGCTTCTCTGTTGTGTGACTTTGTATGGTACTTTGTTTTGTGTGTTGTGTATGAAGCCAAGTTAAATGCACAGTGACATGTCATTGAGTTTGGAATCCTGACATTGTAGAAAGACACAACTCATGTAGGGGCCTTGATAGTGGGCTTGTGGCAGGGAAGAAAAACCCAAAACCTCAACGTACAAATAAATGAATAAAATCTATTCATGTGCGAGTGTTCCCTGATTCTCCTCTCCCTATTTCTGCACAATTCATATTTCCAGCTCTCACAATGGGGGTTTTCTTTCCTTTTGGGATGGATTATTAGAATGAAGAGAGAAGCCAGAGCAGAATGACTGGGGCCAGGGGAAGAACCATGCCAGAGAAACCACACTGATCTATAAAATCAAGAGCCAAGGGGGAAGTGTGAAGAGAGAGAAAAGCAGTTAGGTTTTTGACTTGTTGGGAGTTTGGGGGTTCAGAATGCCATTGCCTCGACAGCAATTAGAGACTGTGAGAGAACTGAGGAATGAAGGAAGGTATTAAAAAGAAAACCGCAGTACAAAATGGAGTCACTTATGTTAAGGGCCCCATGTCAGCAAACCAAGATTTAATACTAACCTAATTGTAATATTATATATCCCCCAGGAATATAACCTTTAACCAGTCAACATGGAATTTCCTGGTCAGCACTAGGAAATTTACCAACAGACCCCTTCCATTCCCCTTAGGAAAGCAACCTTACCTAAAACAATGTGTTCTTTGCTAATAATTTCTGTTGTTAGGTTCTCTCTACCTTTCAAAACCTGTCCTTTTCTGTAGCTCAACAGAGCTCCATTCTATTTGCTAGATAGGATGCTACCTGATTCACAAATTGATCAATAGAGTCAATTTAGTCTTTTAAATTACTCAGTTGAATTTCTGTTGTTTAACAAAGGGAGACCTGACAAATACAAGAGTTTTAAACTGGTTCTGCTGTGATTTTTCTCCGAAACACGAAGTGAAAATTGGAATTCATTTTAAAATTACTTTTAGGCAGTGCTCTGTGGTTCTGTAGAAACTTGAGCTACATGGGGACCCAGGACAATTATGGTTACAAAAAAATTTTCATGCGATATTATTATCACTGTAAGAAATCAGAAATAACCAAAAATGCCTAACAATAGGGAATCAGCTATGCAAACTGTAATATCTCAACATGATAAGAGGAAGTATGGCGTTACAGATTGATGGTGGGTTTGGGAATGACGCCATTCAAAGTCTCACGTATAGTATTCTATTATTTCTAATACTCTTTACAAATAAATCACTAAATTCCAGCTCTACCACTAACAACTTCTCAATTTCCTCATTTATACATTAAGAATAATTATATCTAAATTGTAGGGTTGTTGTGAGGATTAAATAAAATAATATACGTATAAAATTCTTTTTTTTAAAGATTTTATTTATTTATTTGACAGAGAAAGACACAGTGAGAGAGGGAACACAAGCAGGGGGAGCAGGAGAGGGAGAAGCAGGCTTCCCGCAGAGCAGGGAGCCCGATGTGGGACTCGATGCGGGACTCGATCCCAGGACCCTGGAATTATGACCTGAGCCGAAGGCAGACACTTAACGGCTGAGCCACCCAGGCACCCCGCTATATGTATAAATTTCTTAATAAGGTGCATGCCTCATTGTAGACATGGTAGCTATCATTATAAAATATCAAAGTGATGTTAAGAATAATAAGTATGTGAGTTGTCAGTGTGAAAAGAATATATATGCAAACAATTAAATTAAAAAGCATAAGATTATCATGTCCGTGCTTTGGCAAGGATGGGAAGCACATTTAGAATGACTGAGGTTAGCTTATCTACTTTCACTGCTGCCCACAAAAAAAGAATGAGCTCAGGTTGAAGAACAGTGATTTAAAATGAATATAAAAGAACCCTAGGATTATAAAATGCTTAAGAAATCTATAAAAGAAAACATTAAAACATTTTCCTCTAGAGATTAAAAAGATAATTACGTTGGTTTCTCATTTATTTCCCTGATTACCGTGGTCAAAAGGTAATTTATATCTGGCTTTGATAGGTGTTCTTTGCCTCAAGGGATTTTTCCTTTCTAACTGTGTTTGTTTAGGCTAATAGAAAATGAATTTGCATTCCTTGAACTCCTACCAATTAAAGGTGGGTTGATGACTCAGAAGAATGCTTCACAGTTGGGGAAAATCCCTTTGGAACTTAAAAGGTGCTAGGAATAATCCAAAAAGTAAATAATCCATGGAAGAGTTAACTGTCCAGGAATTCAATAATCTCCTACATCTCTCCCATCACCTTTCAAGTAAAAATAACCATAACATAGTAGCCAGGAATCCAAGATGTGAGATTTGGGGAGTAGCTAGGACCATCCTTCCATCCTGGTATCACTTATGGTACTTCCCTTTACAGTTAGTTCCTTTTTAAAAATATTATATCAATTGTATTATGCTATGTTATATCACAATTATGATATGATTATATTTTATAATTATTTTAATGCCTTTTTATAGGGCTTTCTGGACTCAATAGAACTGTGAAAATCCTATGTTTGGAGTAGTTGTTCCAAGGATTTTTACTGCAGTTGCAGGAAGTGAGGACAGTTGCTAGAGACTTCGGGTTCCACTCATCTCACTCCGACTGGCAAGGAAAAGTTCATAGCGAGTGAGGGACAAGATGAAGAGGAAGGCTTGTTACTGTTTGCTTATTGGTTATTTATCTCAATCTGGTTGAGTGTCTTTTTTTTTTAAGATTTTATTTATTTATTTGAGCAAGAGAGAGAAAGAGAGATTGAGATAACGAGTTGGGGAAGGGGCAGAGGAAGAAACAGGCTCCCCGCTGAGCAGGGAGCCAGATGCAGGACTTGATCCCAAGACCCTGGGGTCATGACCTGAGCCAAAGGCAGACACTTAACCGACTGAGCCACCCAGGCGTCCCTCTGGTTGAATTTCTGAGTCCTATTATCAAAAAACTAACTTTCACATTAAAGTATAAACATATTATTATTTAAAAGTTTCAAAAAGGTACATATACAATTAAACATGAAAATCCTCTGTAACTGCTCTTCCCCATCCAATCTCATTCCATCCTCCAGATGGACACTATGCACAA